TTTTTGTAATGACATGGAATTAAGTAATTAAGTCCTTATCATTTTTTAAATAGTTAAGTCACTTTCGAAATGAAAATAATAATATAACTTTTTATTTCAATCGACAATTCAAGTAACTTTTCCTATGTGGATATTTTTAAATATAATAGTATAATTTGTAACACTCTTAATAAACGCCATTTTAACCACTAGTTTGATTCGGCACGACTTGAAAGTGATAGTTACTTCATAAACGAGTGACTTACACTTTTTCTTTCTGTGTGTCAAAGCCAAAGGAAAGTCTTACAAATAAAGAAAAAATTTTATCATGTGCTCTGTAACAAATAAGTTTCACCCACTTCGACAATTTTATGGTCGTCATAATCGCCTTACTAAACAGGTTATTCTAGCCATAGTGAACAAATTTTGCAGCAATTTCACGTGGGTTTTCTTTCCCAGACTGCACGAACTGATTAACAAGTGGTTTCAACAAGATGGTGCTATTGGTATTGGGTACTGAATTTGGTGAGCAATTTATCTCTTTATGTGGAAGAGTAAATTGGTTGCCTAGATCGCGTGATTTGACGCTATGAGATTATTTTGTGGGAGTTTATGTTAAATCATTTGCTTGTGCTGACAAACTTAGATGGTGTATTATTTGCTGCAATTTTCCTGTTGTCTTTTTTTTTTAATTATCAAACAAAAGCTTAAAAAATCGCCCTTTATTAGATAATAAAGCTATCTGACTATAGTAACATTTAAAGGTGCGCATGCCCATAGTTTTCATATTTAACTAGTACCTTCGGATATTTTCTCTCTAAGCACCGATTCCCCCACAACTCAATTCTTCAAAAAAATATTTAGTGAGATCTAGATATATTTTGACATAATATTGTTAGTTTATTAATATCAGCACTCATCCACCAATGTGTCGAGAATCAATCGAAAAGGCATTAGAAAGGCCATATAAGTCAAATCAGAAGACACAGATACTAACTAACCAAAATGTTGAGCAATTACAAACGTACCTAAAGAAAATATGTATATTGTACTATATTATTACATATATAATATATTATTTTGCGGGCTGGTGGCCACATGATATTATTTTTACAAAAATTATATTTCATTATGTGTTAAAAACACTTCAAAACTGGCAGAATTACATTGGTTTTTGATCTATACCTATATCATGTGCTTTAATTACCATTTACTTGATATTCAATTTCATTCAATCAAATCAATTTTCCACTCTCTCTTTAATAAAATTCTTATTGAGTGAAACAATAATCAGTTTGGAATATTGGGTAGAGTTAAGAAAATACCAAAACCTACACTGTCAGCACTCTAATTTATTTCAACATCCTATTAGTATGTCGTACTTGGAAACCCCTTCAAATATTGACCTGTAAAGCAAGTTTAGTCAACTTTTTTCCTGATTGAATCCATAATGATTTGATCCAGAGCGAGCTTACCTCGTCGTATACTCTTTATCCAAATGGAGATCGTCCAGAAGACACAATGGCGGCGGATTCGCTGGCAATGGCGGTGGAATCTCAATTTCCTCATAAATAGGATCGTTATTGATCTTGATGCTTTCATAATGGTGATCCTCGTTCTCCGATACTTCGACGTGATCAGCATCCGCCAGCAGCTCGTAGAATTTCGTCCTGTTCGAAGCTCCTCCTCGGTGACTGAACTGCGATTGCTGTGATCTGTGTAGCTATCTGATCCGGGATCCATGAGCTCGTACTGCGTTGAAGAACTGTGTTCTGAGCTGAAATCGTCCCCAAGTGATTCATACCATCGCAGCCTGAGAAAAGACTCTTCTAAAGATGACGAGAGATTGGTATCTTCCAGTGGTGACTCGAAAAGTGATGCGTTCTTGTCGAGAGTTTTTGATGGTTTGTTTACATGTGATCTCCTAGACATGTCTGACTTTCCACAGACATGATGGACTAAGTTATGACGCACCGCTTCCACCGGATCTCGAAGAATTTCGTGAAGATGTGTTGTCGAGTCCTTTTCGTCTTTTATGCAGTGGGACGATGCAGAGTGATACGAAGACGAACTCTGGTCGTCGTCAAGTGCATGTTCAGCTTTAGACCAGGAAGTACCCTCACGTATGTCCGGTACCATGAGTATATCATCTTTTGTTTCCGACAGTTTATCTTTGGTTGCCTCTGATTTGTTGGCGGTATCAGTGGAACTTATAAAAGTGCCCGTAATATAAATTTTGCTGCTGCTTCTATTCGGCGATCTCATCGTGGAAGTGTCATCTTTAACGATAACCGAAGATTGGCATAGGGGAATGTTGTCGTTGACGTTCACCGTAGAGTAGCAGTTGTCTCCATTTATAAGAATCGATGTTTTCCTTTGCGGACTTTGGCTAACCGATCTGGTTTTTATATTTAAATCGGGGCATTCGTTTTTAATCTGAATTTTATGTACAGTAGGTGACACGATGGGTGACGAACTAATTTGAACCACCGTCTTATTGCTATCCTCCGATATTTGAGGCCCAACGAGGAACGCTTGCGTTTCTGGTGTCTTGCAGATGACATTTAGTGCAGGTTGCTTGTTGTTGCTTCGCTTCCTTGGTGGCGCAGACGGAGGAGTTAAAGCTTCCACTCCATCGATTGGCGGAACCTCTCGAATTTTTGGTATCTCTATTTCATCGGCCTTTTCGATCGGCGCTGGTTTAGGCAAAATCAGTTGTTGGCATTGTAAAAATTGTAAAAATTTATAGTATTATGGTATAGTATTATAGCATTTTCCATTTTCGTAATCTCTTTTAAAAGAAAGTTGTCTCAAAAGGCTGTTTTTTATGAGCGGTTTAGTACTGTGCTGTTGAACCTTGCAAACATAGTGGGGCACTTTCCGTACAGATTGCCTATAGTATTTATGATTTGGGTTTATTTTCTCCCAATAAAATTCTTATTGAGTGAAACAATAGTCAGTTTGGAATATTGGGTAGAGTTAAGAAAATACCAAAACCTACACTGTCAGCACTCTAATTTATTTCAACATCCTATTAGTATGTCGTACTTGGAAACCCCTTCAAATATTGACCTGTAAAGCAAGTTTAGTCAACTTTTTTCCTGATTGAATCCATAATGATTTGATCCAGAACTAACTTACCTCGTCGTATACTCTTTATCCAAATGGAGGTCGTCCAGAAGACACAATGACGGCGGATTCGCTGGCAATGGCGGTGGAATCTCAATTTCCTCAAAAATAGGATCGTTATTAATCTTGATGCTTTCATAATGGTGATCCTCGTTCTCCGATACTTCGACGTGATCAGCATCCGCCAGCAGCTCGTAGAATTTCGTCCTGTTCGAAGCTCCTCCTCGGTGACTGAACTGCGATTGCTGTGATCTGTGTAGCTATCTGATCCGGGATCCATGAGCTCGTACTGCGTTGAAGAACTGTGTTCTGAGCTGAAATCGTCCCCAAGTGATTCATAGCATCGCAGCCTGAGAAAAGACTCTTCTAAAGATGACGAGAGATTGGTATCTTCCAGTGGTGACTCGAAAAGTGATGCGTTCTTGTCGAGAGTTTTTGATGATTTGTTTACATGTGATCTCCAAGACATGTCTGACTTTCCACAGACATGATGGACTAAGTTTTGACGCACCGCTTCCACCGGATCTCGAAGAATTTCGTGAAGATGTGTTGTCGAGTCCTTTTCGTCTTTTATGCAGTGGGACGATGCAGAGTGATACGAAGACGAACTCTGGTCGTCGTCAAGTGCATGTTCAGCTTTAGACCAGGAAGTACCCTCACGTATGTCCGGAACAATGAGTATATCATCTTTTGTTTCCGACAGTTTATCTTTGATTGCCTCTGATTCGTTGGCGGTATCAGTAGAACTTATAAAAGTGCCCGTAATATAAATTTTGCTGCTGCTTCTATTCGGCGATCTCATCGTGGTAGTGTCATCTTTAACGATAACCGAAGATTGGTATAGGGGAATGTTGTCGTTGACGTTCACCGTAGAGTAGCAGTTGTCTCCATTTATAAGGATCGATGTTTTCCTTTGCGGACTTTCGCTAGCCGATATGGTTTTTATATTTAAATCGGGGTATTCGTTTTTAATCTGAATGTTATGTACAGTAGGTGACACGATGGGTGACGAACTAATTTGAACCACCGTCTTATTGCTATCCTCCGATATTTGAGGCCCAACGAGGAGCGCTTGCGTTTCTGGTGTCTTGCAGATGACATTTAGTGCAGGTTGCTTGTTGTTGCTTCGCTTCCTTGGTGGCGCAGACCGAGGAGTTAAAGCTTCCACTCCATCGATTGGCGGAACCTCTCGAATTTTTGGTATCTCTATTTCATCGGCCTTTTCGATCGGCGCTGGTTTAGGCAAAATCAGTTGTTGGCATTGTAAAGATTGTAAAAATTTATAGTATTATGGTATAGTATTATAGTATTTTCCATTTTCGTAATCTCTTTTAAAAGAAAGAAAGTTGTCTCAAAAGGCTGTTTTTTATGAGCGGTGTAGTACTGTGCTGTTGAACCTTGCAAACATAGTGGGGCACTTTCCGTACAGATTCCCTATAGTATTTATGATTTGGGTTTATTTTCTCCCAATAAAATTCTTATTGAGTGAAACAATAATCACTTTGGAATATTGGGTAGAGTTAAGAAAATACCAAAACCTACACTGTCAGCACTCTAATTTATTTCAACATCCTATTCTGAAATATCCAAACATCAAGCGTGCGAAGAGGGTCATTTTAAGAAGTCAGCTTCATTAACCACGGTCGCGAGCCATTTCAGACCTTTCGGATTTTTTAGTGTGAGAGCGATAGGATGTTTTAGGTAAATTTTTGCCACGGATAGTATTTTGTACCAATTGTACTCGAAAACGAATGGTCCTAGAAGAATTATGACGCTGCTATGAGTCTCTTGAAGTAAATTCGCCTCAACATAATAACTCTTAACATTTGAATTCATTAAATTTTTTATAAGAATCATTAATTTAAATGGGTCAGTTTCAAAGAAGTGTCGGGTAAATCTTTATTACAATTTCATACAACTTTTTCATTATTACACTAGGTTAAGTTAAACATCGCTACTATGCACTACAATAATAATATTAAAATATACCCATTACCAGACCGAAGAAATATCACAGCTAAATTACTAAAATACTTATAATAATTAAAATACCTCATTAAGTTTTACAATTATAATTATTAGTAGGAAAAAGAATCGTTGTTCGATATAAATAATTTCTTTATTTAAAGCTGTAAACTTAATTCAAAGGTTCCTGATGTGCTACGTGCGCAGGCCCATTCCGTTTATCATGATATTGGCTAGGGCGTTTCTCCTCTTTCTCCATGCTCCGAGACCTTGAGAATGATACTGGAGCTGTTTGTACCATAAGTGCGTCTGCTTCTCTTCATCAGCCTACAAAAATCAATGAAATTTTTTTATTCACCAAAATAGATATAGGACAATAAGGACAAAACTTAAGATGTTGCACTTCGAAAAAGTAACATTTAGATTAGTATATGCAAATATTGTGATGCTGCCTTGGTCTGTCTGGAAACTATATGTAGAAACCTTTAGAATCTCTGAAGTACGAATCTATATCAATGACAGAATGGCAGCAAAGGCAATATTGCACACGACTACCACCCTAAGCCTATTTTATGAGTTTAACAAAGCTTAAAGTGAATTTTAATGTATTACAACATAACCAAGATCAAGATCGGAATTTGAAACTGTCAAAACTTGTCTGCCTTAGTAGAGACGTATTTATTCTTGTTGATATTATTGCATTAATATCTTCTCGGACAAACCTGAAATCCGAAATTTTACCTTAAAGATGAAAGTGTCTTTTCCCATAAGCTCCTGGACCTCAAAGTAGCTCTGCCAAGCCGGATCAGCAGCAACCACACACCGGTCCAGATACAGCGGTTCCCGTAGTAGGGAATATCTTCCATTTTTGTCCCTGACCAGCAACAAAGCGGCCTCCCTCACGCCCGAATGTTTGGAAAACACGAGACAATTGTCCTCCAGCTTTTCCGATTGCTTCGTTACGGGTAGCTAAAGAAGATAACATCAACAAACACATCTCAGTTAAAAACAAAGCAACTACCTTTCCGTTAGTCACAAGTAGCGCGTTAATCGGAGTTAACTTGATAGTTCTCCCCTTCCTCCAGTTGTTGTCCGTGGGTTGCGTGAACAACAGCTTCCCCTCTAAGATGAATTTGGCCTCGTCATGGTTCCATTCCAACACATCCACAGCGATTTTCCTTAGTTTTATATTGGCCAAGTCCATTTCCGTGCTAGGCCGCCTACCGGAGTTACTCCCTATCCGTCTCCACAATTTGCTTGGCACATCTTTAGTTTCCGAGTTCATGTGGTTCAAATGAAGTTCGATCTTGTGTTGCGCTTCCTTCAGTATCTCCCTAGTATGGTGGTGTACAGGGGTAACTTTGTACAACCGCGCGAGAAGCAACGGATACTTGGTTACCCTTTGTACCGGAACCATTAGGAAAGAATTTAAATTCATCCTCCTCAGCAGCGTATTTTCCATTTGGGAGACCCGAAGAAAAATCCTTAGCAATTCCTTTTCTTTTTCCAAACTGGCCAGTAGCAAACTCGCAGTTCCTTGTCGAACGCAATAAGTTTCAAATCCGTGAAGCATTGGAGCCGCTTCTAGGAACAGTTTACCAATATTTACAGTCAACAGGTCGTCGTCTCCTTGCTCGAGAGCAATTTCCACGGCATCCCTAAGCCTTTCGGCTAGCGCCTGGCTGTTTTCCAACAACTCTTCGACGTTTAAGAAAATAGTTGCGAGCTGATCTGGAGTAAGTAGACCGGCAACGAGCATCGGTTGATAGAACTCTTCCAAAATGATTTGCAAGTCTTTGCTGTATTTCTCCTCCGTTTCCACTATCTCGGTAATAATTTCCTTGCGTTCAGATCGTTTCTTACTGCACTTCCTGCATAACAACGGCTCGCTTTCGGTTTTTGAATCTAAAGCGAATTCGCAGTCTTCGCATGATACCAAAATTTCCTGCTTACTCCTATACTTGCTCAGCGAACTTTTACTGGTCTCAGAACCGACGCCCGAGTCGTTTCTTTCAACTTCGGCTGGTTTTTGGGAAGTCGCCTTCTCGTCTATGATAGCTCCGGATATGATCAGAGAATTGTCTTCACTCGAATCGCTGACGGTGCTCATGTGGGACGTTCGGTTGTAAGACTCTTTGGTTTCTTCGTCGTTCGGTTGGTTGTTAGCGAGGCTATAAGCGTAGCCATCTTCTTGTACTATTCCGCGCTCTTTTGCGTCCACCAGGTAGCTTAGTATGTCGTACTTGGAAGCCCCTTCAAATATTGACCTGTAAAGCAAGTTTAGTCAACTTTTTTCCTGATTGAATCCATAATGATTTGATCCAGAACGAACTTACCTCGTCGTATACTCTTTATCCAAATGGAGGTCGTCCAGAAGACACAATGGCGGCGGATTCGCTGGCAATGGCGGTGGAATCTCAATTTCCTCATAAATAGGATCGTTATTGATCTTGATGCTTTCATAATGGTGATCCTCGTTCTCCGATACTTCGACGTGATCAGCATCCGCCAGCAGCTCGTAGAATTTCGTCCTGTTCGAAAGCTCCTCCTCGGTGACTGAACTGCGATTGCTGTGATCTGTGTAGCTATCTGATCCGGGATCCATGAGCTCGTACTGCGTTGAAGAACTGTGTTCTGAGCTGAAATCGTCCCCAAGTGATTCATAGCATCGCAGCCTGAGAAAAGACTCTTCTAAAGATGACGAGAGATTGGTATCTTCCAGTGGTGACTCGAAAAGTGATGCGTTCTTGTCGAGAGTTTTTGATGGTTTGTTTACATGTGATCTCCTAGACATGTCTGACTTTCCACAGACATGAGGGACTAAGTTTTGACGCACCGCTTCCACCGGATCTCGAAGAATTTCGTGAAGATGTGTTGTCGAGTCCTTTTCGTCTTTTATGCAGTGGGACGATGCAGAGTGATACGAAGACGAACTCTGGTCGTCGTCAAGTGCATGTTCAGCTTTAGACCAAGAAGTACCCTCACGTATGTCCGGTACAATGAGTATATCATCTTTTGTTTCCGACAGTTTATCTTTGATTGCCTCTGATTCGTTGGCGGTATCAGTAGAACTTATAAAAGTGCCCGTAATATAAATTTTGCTGCTGCTTCTATTCGGCGATCTCATCGTGGTAGTGTCATCTTTAACGATAACCGAAGATTGGTATAAGGGAATGTTGTCGTTGACGTTCACCGTAGAGTAGCAGTTGTCTCCATTTATAAGAATCGATGTTTTCCTTTGCGGACTTTCGCTAACCGATATGGTTTTTATATTTAAATCGGGGTATTCGTTTTTAATCTGAATTTTATGTACAGTAGGTGACACGATGGGTGACGAACTAATTTGAACCACCGTCTTATTGCTATCCTCCGATATTTGAGGCCCAACGAGGAACGCTTGCGTTTCTGGTGTCTTGCAGATGACATTTAGTGCAGGTTGCTTGTTGTTGCTTCGCTTCCTTGGTGGCGCAGACGGAGGAGTTAAAGCTTCCACTCCATCGATTGGCGGAACCTCTTGAATTTTTGATATCTCTATTTCATCGGCCTTTTCGATCGGCGCTGGTTTAGGCAAAATCAGTTGTTGGCATTCGGAATCCTCTTTTTTCTCTTTGTCACAAAGCTGAACTGGAGGTGGAGGCGGGGGCGGCCGATGGGGTCGCGGACTTATTTTCCTCGTTCTGGAAGTTATTCCATCCAGCTTTTCAAGGTCTTCGCTTGAAAAAGTGATCTTGACGTTGGGCCGTTTTTTGCTACGCAGAGCCATCGTGTCGTGGAAAACAACGTGATTCTGTTTATTGTTTAACCGGTCACTATAACTGCGCTTCAGTTTCAACAACTTATTATTCTTCTTTTTAGCTGAAACAAGAAAACGATTGTAAAACATTTGGAGTGACGCAATTGCACACGCACCTTCCACGGCTTCAGAAAGTTCTTGGTTTTTATCTGGAGGTGCTGGTTCTTCCGATGCATCCTCAAAAACTTCTTCCTCATCTTCAATCTCGTTCTTAATTACAACTTTCGTATCAGGCTTTAGTTCTTCTTCGAGATCGCTGGAGCTGGACTGAAGACTACCATCGCTTTCGCTTGCGTCTAGAAACTGTACTTTCTTGCGAGGTGTCATAGGAAGCGGAGTAGGAATGTAAAACTGAGATCCAGATTTTCTCGACGGGGACGGTGTCGCATCTTCGTAATCCGTAGCCGAGTCTGTGCCGCTGTGCAACGTCGATCGTTTCTTCAAAATAGACTTGAACTGATTTCGCGGTATAGTGTTACGTTCGTAATCTTCTTCTGAAGGTTTGATTTTTGCACTCAAGCCGGCGACAGGACTTTTCGGCTTGTACTTGGGAAACGGATATTGCGCGGCAGATGCCTTGGAGTCCAAAACGTCTTCATAATCTTGATGAATATTCAGGCACGTCGGTCTCACTCTGATCCTCTGACCGTTTAATACAGTAACACTTTTCGTTTCATTGGATTGCTGCGGCTTATCACCAGCCATCAACTCGTATGGATTAATGTTGCATTCCAGTATGGATCGACGCCCGACGGTAGAGTTGAGAGAATCCTTTTTGATGCCTAAAAATCGATATTAACATTTCGGTTTCGCAAGTTAAGAGCTTACTTTTCGATCTGGTACCGTTTTCGCGTTTGACATCGATTGCGACGTTTCTGCTGCTTGGGGATATAGATCTGCCGCGATAGGGCGACCCGGTTCGCTCCGGTACGGAAAGTCTGGACCGCCGCATCAGATCGTACGGATCCGGAGCGGCAGGTAGAATCGATGGCCTTGCAGGTGACGATGTAATGTGGACTGTGCCCGCTCTTAAGGGCGTCGATGATGACGAATGAGTTTTGGAGTAACATCGTACCTGTATTTCAAAATTTTTACATAGTTGCTGAACGAGCAAATAATCTTCAAAGTAAATAAGAATCCAGCTGCAAGCACCAAGACGTATGTGCATAAAACTACATACTTAATACTAAAATAAATGAATGAAACTACGTCGCCCTTGGTCACATTTTTAGCGTATGTACAAATTATTAGCATTAGCATTAGCCTTTTAAGAATTCTGCTTAACCAATACTTAATATCGATATAAAAATTTAAATGATACGTACGGTTCCAAATTTTGATTCGGAGTTTAAGGGCAATCTGGTCCCTTTGCATTTTTTGCACGTGTGAGGAGATTTTTTCGAAGGTCTTCTTGTGCCGTTGATATAATCGGGACAGGTGCACAACACGAGTGCAGGAGCGAGCAGGAAACCACCAGGGTTTCCTCGGACGCTCCCGTAAAGCCACGGGTCTGCGTAGCGCATCGAGCGCGATAGAGCGCCTTCGGTTCCGCTTCCGCCTACGCCTGTGCTGCGAGAAGAACTAGAATCGCTCTAAAAAAAGACAGAAATCACGGAATAATCATAAGAATAACGCCTTGAATAATATTTATCATATAAGACCTAAACGTAAATATTTATTGTCTAACAGAAAAAGACCTATTGATAAAAACAAATAAAATGACAAATTTGTTATTACAATATAATATTAAATTCTCTTTAAAATAAAACATTGATAATCTGATGACTATAAAATCTTAACTGCAGAAAAGTAAGTTTCACCTCCTCTCAAATTGCATTGTTTTAGAAAATATGTATATATATATATATATATATATATATATATATATATATATATATATATATATATATATATATATATATATATATATATATATATATATATATATATATATATATATATATATATATATATATATATATATATATATATATATATATATATATATATATATATATATATATATATATATATATATATATATATATATATATATATATATATATATATATATATATATATATATATATATATATATATATATATATATATATATATATATATCTGCGAGTGGTCTGGAACTCTCTCCCTCTCTCTCTCATTCTTTCGAGATGGCCGTATCATGTAAGTATTTTAGATTCTATAGCTTCTATTGTAGTTCTATTTACTCCCATAGATCGTCTTACTGTTTCATTTCTAACATCGTCCAGCCTGAATGCTCCATTGCTTCTTGTCCAGTAGTTCATGTCCACAGCCAATAATTTATTCTGATATCTTTTGCTTAATGTTTGTGAGCCATACATTGTTATTATGTAGACGAGGATGTACTATATTCTTTTTTTTGTGTAATTTATTTGCTCCAAAATAGCTCTACTTGGGTAAATTGTTACGTCAGGATATTTAAAAGAAAGGCAGCATTTTTATCACACAGTACCTAGGACCCCAGTTTTCATATTCTTGTTGGACCTTTCGCATCATGTAGCTTCAGTCATCTTTATCTCCAGCTAAGAATCGCTGGTCTTCGGAGATTTTAACGTGCTTACTTTCATCTATATTTCAGGAATAGAAGTATGATTTCCATTGCAGCATTAATAGTGCTTTTTGGCAAACAAAAAATGGAAATTCTGTTCAAATAGTTCATAACCGTCCATAACCTGAATATTTCGCAGTTCAAGTTCAATCTCGTCGGCATGTGCCATGAGTTGTATATGGTAGATATTTGAGGAAGCAGCGCAGAACATGTTATTTATATAAGCATTTAGGATTAATGAAACTCACAGTCGATTTGATTACAAAGCTTAGAGCTTTAAGTAATCTCTGATAAATTTTAACTATTTATTGTTGTTCGGGAGGAATTTAAGATTTGAGTCTAGCTAAGTCATTGACGGTCTCCTCAAATGATGTGTACATACAGTAAATTGCTATTTTACGACAGAAAGTGTGCCTTTTAGTTAGTTTCTATCTCCGACCAAAATAAGGATTTCACTCAAACTGTTTGCGGACTCCTAATTACATCGATTCATGCAGATTACTAATTGTGTGTGCCAGCTGTTCAATATTTCATATGTTAAATTTAGAAGCATTAGGTTGCCTTGCTGGAAGATAATTTTGTAGCCTTACATCAAATAATTTATTTAGCAGTCATTCGCAAGCAGAATACGGAGAGTAGTGTGTGACCTTACCTTACCTTATAAACTATTAGACATAGAGATTTAGTATAACTCTTTATTTGGCAGTCGTTTGCTGGGGACTGCTAGTAATTTTATTTCTTAAAAACGTGCAGTTTGCAATTACTTACTTTTAGACCATAGGAAGAATAAACTGCGTTCGTAGGTGACGTTGGGAACCGATGCATCGCATGGCTAACCAATGCAGCCATGGAAATGGAAACAATGCGACTTCAGCATCTCACTGGAACAAAAAATATATTGGTTAATAGAATTTTGGCAATTTCGGTTATAGTTACGCAAAACATACTGCTCCAGAGCCATGGGAAATTAAGTCAATCTTGCCTGATACACGTTAGAAGTCAACAACAAAATTCCGCTTTCAATCAACTAACCAATCACAAAATATTCTCTAGAATAGGCAGTGAAAATATGACCCGTTTTCATTAATTTTTTAAAGAGGAGACTAAATAAGTGTGTGGAAATAAATTGGCGCAGATTAATGTTGTATTTACCTAATATTGTCTGAGTTAAGTAATATGGAGTGGCAGACATAAAAGATCTTTTTTTTTTTTGTTTTATTATAAATTTCGAAATAGTCACATACTGCCTCTGACTGAGCACGCCCATGCATTGGTAAATTCTCGTGAAAATGTATGTCGCATTTTCATGACAAACACCTTTTCATTACCAATCTCATTACTACGTACGCATTCAAATCAAATGATTACTAGCAAAACGTTTCATTTAATATTTCAAATCGCGTAATAAATAAGCAGAAATCGCAGTTAGAAATAACCAATTCGTGTGCTCGGGTATAAAAACGTGTAACATAAAGTTTTAATATAAACCGTAAAAGTCCTTTCCAACGAATTTTACGGCCAAAGAATTTCCAGGTAAAAATCTGGTTAATGCTACCTAAACTTTATTGATTTATTTAATAAATAGATAAGAATACTGTTATCTCCTTGAACAAGTTTTTCCTGTCAAAACGTTAATTTGCTTAAAAATACCTTTTTTTTAATTCATTCGTTTATGTATTGCAGCAAACATGTACCAGCCGGTAAAGGATTCGGCCGTTTCATTTCTGAAGCGGCTCCAATTTTATCCAAGCGCCTCCAAATACGACGAGAGAAAGTTTTTTCTGCGAGCCTTCATTTGGGTTCTATTTCTAATGATAAATATTACGGATTTGTTAATACACACAACAATTAATATGGGAGGTGGGTTTCTCCGCTTGCTAATAGATATTAAACACTAGTCGGTGATTTGGTTAGATGGCATAACAATACTATTTTCCTTTGTAAAAAGAAAAGAAAAACTCCGTCGACTTCGGAGACATCACCGGGAATCTAGGCTGCACGATGACCTGCGTTTGTTTCACGATTCACCACAAAAAATGGGCTCATGTTTTTGAATCTCTAACCAACCACGAAAAGTTCGGTAAACCGGCAAACTACAAGAAAGTCACCGAACGTGGCAACGTCATCGTTGCTCCGTCATCGTTGCTCTGGCCGTTTTGTATGCCATTATCGGTAAGCTATGTTTTACGACTACAGGATGTCCCGAAATTATCAAATATTTCAATTCCAGTCTACTATTTCTCCCCCAATTACCACGGTTTTGAAAAAATGTTCGCGGATGTTACATAAAAACACAAGCTGAATATTTAAAATTTTCAATTATGCGGGGTGTTTTATAAAAGCGTCGGAATACAAAAATCTATATTTTTAAATAGTAGTAAAGCGCCCTAGCAACTGTTTCATCCAGGGGGTTATTCAAAGTCTTGCCGACTTGACGAAATTTTTCTCTGATTTTTTAAATCTAACTACCATATCGTGTTCAGCTACTGCTTCTGTACGATTTTTGTTAAGGTTACCTTATATTCGTTTCATGATATTCGTTATAATGCACTATTTTTCGAAAAATGTTTTTATTATTAATAAATCACAAATGTTGGTATTTCTTGTTCTTGCTTGTTTTTTATATAGCAACTTAAATGTTAAATAAAGCTAAACCTACCGCCTACGTAAAGGAAGAAACAATAATTAGAATAACAGTTTTTTTTCTTTCGAGACAATTGTTGAACTGTGTGTAATGTATTCAAAATAATAATGGTAGAATTAATGAAAAACTTATTTACTCGTCGTTTTAAGTTAGTATTTTAAGTTTATTTCGCATATCGAGGTGGTATCTTTACTTTACTTAATCATCAAAACACATTTTTAAATTAGCAGGATATTAAGTTGATTATATAACTTCAAAATATAATTATTCGTTATAGGTATATAGATATAGGGAACCTTAACAAACGGTAGGGATGCAGTCATCGTAAACAATAAAGTACTTACTTCACTTGGTCAATAAAATAGTTAGGTTAGGTTTTCAATTTTAAAAAACGGAGCAAAAAAATTTATTTAAACTTTATCAAGTTAGCCAAGAATCTTGAATCTACCCTGTATGACATAATTATTTAGGCACACTTAGCAACTCTTTATCTGTATCAATATCCATTTTTAATAGAATGAAAGCAGCAAATTGAAATATATAAAAAATAATATTATAGTTTTCGAATAACTTGACAAAATCGGATTAATATGTAGACCTATATATGGTGTTCCATTCACAAACAAAAAATATACTTGTGTATTGCCACGATTTTAAGTCTAATTGGAAGTACTTTTTTGTGTTTTGAATTTATAGTCTAGCAACGATACAACGAACTATACTTATCAATAAACTATGGGAAGTAATAACAAAATTGTGAATACAATACACAATAATAAAAGCTTTAAACGAACTGTGCAAAAACAAGACTTCAAATTGACAACAGTCACGAAAGATTTAACACAAGGATGCTATCTCTCTCCTACATTATTTACAATATATTTAAATAAAGCACTAACATAAGGAAGAAGCTGTCAAGTAATGGGCACGTAATGACGAAACCATTAAATTTTACAGACCCGATGTTTATCGGAAATTTGCGTTTAACTGAATATTTACAAAACACCAAATATTTCACTGTGAGCGGACCACAAAATAAGTTTAACTTAGGCAACGGAAAGAGAATTGAACCATGTCAACAATGGGAACCATTGTCCATTCTAGAGAATATACAACCTGAAATAGAGGAAAGAGTAAAAAAACAGAAGAGAATTATTGGACCATTGAACTCCACCCTATGGGCCAGGAGTCGAGAACGGACATATTAAATACATCATACTATCCTCAAACGCTCCCTCACTTCTGTGAAACTTGGCAAATAAATAAGAGAACGAATCTACGAAAAGGGACTTTTGGCATCGCTCGGCGGAAATATCCGTATCAGGCAGAATTTCAAATGAGCGGGTTAGAGAAATCATGAAAATAAAACGAACCATTATCGACAACATTCAGAAACAACAACTAATGAATGTTGAGTGAATTGCCAAAAAAATATTGAATTGAAAATCTCATGGACACAAAAAAAAACCAAAAATAACGTAGGAAAAAGGTGTGGAAGAGCAATTTCAAAACAGAATTTAAAGCCTGACTAGGAACCGGAAGGCATCGATAAAACATTTTTTTCAGAATTGTGATAAAGTAGGGAGGTATATTAGTTTGACACACTATTGCGAAACCTTTTATATCTTTTAATAAACATAAATAAATAAGAGTGATTAAAATTGTTTAATTAACTGTAGGAATAATATTCTACACCGTGCTGTCTCAGCTTCCTAGTACTGTAAACACCTGCCTTCAAGTTAACGAAGTAAATAACCTCGATGAAGTGTGTGGCTTATTTAACCCGGCATGGTGGCCTGCGAAATATAGAGCTTCCTCAGCGGTTACAAGAATGTGGTTCATTTACCAAGTCACCACGGTGTTTGTCCTCTTGTCTCCCAGTTTGCTCTTCTTCTGCTTGCCGTGGGAAGCTGCAAGTCACGCAGTCGCGCGACTAGAGCACCTTAGAACCGATTACCTCAACGTTTTCAAGATCAACAGCGACGAAATCAAATACACGAAGTTGAGGTTGTGGATTGAACACCACCAGGAAATATTACGGTAACCGCTGATTATCTATTCAACCTGGACTGTAACCAAAATATCGTAGGGTATCCGCCGCACTGAGCGCAGCAACTAAACTGACCATTGGACATATGTCAATAATCGCAGGCATTATCATTGGATGCCTTGGGACACAAGCTTTAAGGGTAGGTTTTTTTAAATGTTCCAGATGAATAAGAGAACAACGCTGCGTTACCTATCTATATAAGTATTTCAAATATTTTACTGAAAATTCTTCATGGGTTAGACTGTGCAGTCTACATTATTAGGCTGTTCAGAAAACACTGGTCGATATTCCAGCGTTGTAGTTACTGCATTCACAAAAAAAGTTTCGTCATTTCATTTCTACTACCTACTCCAAAACACTGAACATGATCGTACCTCAAGTGCCACATTAAAAAGTCAGTTTCTGAAAATTCCGCTATTTTAGTCACGGGTTTAGGAGCGATCGGATGTTTTCCGCAGGTTTGCTATGGTATTTTGACGTTTATTCACTCACGTCACTCATTGAATGAATTCTTTCTGTTTTTCCGAAATGCAAAACTAATAGTAATAGAAAAGGTATAGTATGCAACATGTAAATAAACTTCTTCAATCACTCGTTTCTAAATATTTACAATTTATTTTCTCTGTAGCTTATATTTACAGGAAGGAATTCCAAAATCTATCATATTTATAATGGGAGTCTTGGTCGGATGCTTCGTAGTGTGCCACGCGGGTCAAAGCATAGTTGATGAGGTTTGTGGCCTTCCTCAGACGACTGTTCTAGACTTGTTAGCGTTGCGTTGCAGACTTTGGGTGTTAGTTATACCGCATACGGTGTCAGCTGGTTTAAATGCGACGTCAAAATTCAAAAGGCTGTCCTTTTTATAATTATGCGCACGCAAAAGCCTGTGCGTCTGGAAACAATTCCGTTTGGAGCTTTCGATTATGCACTTTACTTGTTGGTAAGTATATTAAGTTGATAAAGGCGATAAAATTTTAATGGAGAGTTTATACAGCCAGTTGCTAATTTTACCGGGGAAGTCCTGAAAAATAGGTAATTTTTATAAATTCGAATGTACCCGTTTGGAATTTCGACTTTAGCGCCTCGCATCTTGGCCTTTTACTTCACGCCATATAGTAAAATGGCGAACAAAAACATTTTTTGCTAATATATGTCCACCTGCACTCCTGCAATATTTTAAGATAATCTGTATTTTAGAGTTTACTGTTTACTTCTCTGGTCTCATGGAATGAAACAATATTTTTACACGAATTTATTTCGAACGCAGTTATCGCTAACGAACTAAATACAGGATGTTTGTAAAGTAAAATAAAAAATGTCTAGTCTTATGAAAATCAATTTTATTGTTTTAAATAAAAGTAATTACTAACAAATCGATTTGTTAGGAACGTGTTTAATTTTTAAAGACGAATCTAGGTACAAAACAAAATGAAGAAACGGAGAAAATTTTTATTTATGGTTGCTTGATCGACAAAAATGATTAAATCCTCACAAAATCAGTAACGTAAAAAACTTATAAAAAGAATAATTCTATTGAAACGCTATATAACAGGAATCGGAACCAAAACATTCAATTTGACTGTTGAAACGTCATGACATTCTCTACTGATGCTTCGAAGTTATAAGGTGATAAGGTTTTTTAGTTTTGGTTAGTTTAGTTAGGATCGAAATGTTAAGTGTCAGTTATTTAAGAATCTACTTACATGTACTTTTATCTACCTAGATGAATTCAAATTGAAATAGATTTTCAATCAAATTTCAATTCAAATTTAGGCACGTAGGTGTTCCATGCGATTAAAAAGTCACAAACTCAACCTGTGCTTCGCAGGATGCAAGGTGCTTAGAAATTCCAATACATACTAGTAGAAATTTTGGACATTTAGTCAGACACTGTCCAGTTGAGTATTTTTGTTCAACAAAGAGTACAACAATGAAAATGTACATTGTAGCCAGTAATTGGCGTATTTCTTGAAAATAGCAACAACTCTGTAACAAAAATAATCCATTTTGTTTTAATGGTGATTTTATTCCAGATAGTTAAAACATCGTACACATACTTGACGGTGCTAAATCAAAAAATGTGAAAAAAAGATGGTTAAGTTACCCACTGCAAGTTCCAATACGCGTAGGCCGTATGAAGCTCGATAGCAATTTCCTTTCGGGAATGATGAATGATCAATTAAAGAAATGAAACTCCATCAAACGTATGTTATCCGCAGCTTTCACTATAAACAGTTGAATTTTAGTACCACACCGGAATTTGCGTACGATAATAGCCATAATTAAACTTTTTATGTAGTAGCAGATAAATGCGCTAATAAAATTGAACCCTTTGTTCACAAGAGTTGTACGGTTTTCTTTAAAAGCTATTTTACATCTTTAGATAGCCCCGAAAATTCTAATTGTAGTCATGGTTGCTAAACTTCCCAATTTTTACAGCAAAAACGTAGAAAAATATATCCCGATTCTCGGCCGACAACACAGTTTTAAGTTGTCTTTCCTTACTCTTAAAAATTTAGTTTAGTAGACAAATTCTGGGGATTCTATAACAGAAACCTTATTTCTATAGAACGAAGAGTCACTACCGGTAACGCTGCTTGTATTCAATTTGTTCATGTTTCAGGTACGAATTATCAACGTAGAAACAATTTTAGCTGTTTTATATTTGTTATATTATTCAGTGTTTTGTGTAATGTGAGATAAATTTTAATCTTGGAGCGATATATGTGAGAAGAAAAAGAGCAGAATAGCAGAATATATTAAATTCAGCAATTTAAATATATTTGTATCATATATATATTATTTGGACGGCTCTGATACGAGGCATATAAAAATAGTGCAGAAGGTAAAATAACATATTTCAAATATTCGGTGTTTGTTGATTAGTTGCTTTTGCCAAAAATTTGTAAACCATTTTTACTCGACTCTTACTTGACCTATTAACACGGATACAAGATGCACTAGCAGCAGGCGTGGACACTTTCAAGTTCGCAAAACAAATGCGAGTAGTGAAAAATTATGTTGAAAAAATAAATATTTCTTATGGGGATATATGAATAAAATAAGAATCCCATTATAATCATATCCTTAATTTGTGTTTTTTTTTATATTTAAAATATAACATTAAATATTGTATTGCATTATTGTAATTTAAAAATTTTGAAATATTAATTGGCAGAATTCAAAGGAAAGTAAATTCAATCCTTTTTATATAACGACATGAAACAATCGACAAAAAAACTTTCTAAAGGATTAACAAAAGGAACTGTTTAGAAATATTTTTCGAACGCGTTTAACGAAGTAGCCAGTTACATACACGACAGCAATGCCCTCGGGGGTTTTAATATTTCTAATTGTCTTTTAAAAGTGCCGAGAAAACGATAAACCACTATATCGTTTTGTAATGCAGTCAACAACACTGCAGTAAAGCAATGGCATAATTGTAGTTTATCAAATGGATTCACGAAACACAAACACACACACGTGTACGGATTTCGCTTCTCAACAGCAGCAGCAGAGGTGCGGGGAAGGGGCTAAGTAGACTAGCGCGTTGCCTCGAGTGAAGCAACTCATATGTTATTCTTGGTTACTATTTGCTCCTTTCCTACATATACAGCATACTTAGTCGAAATTAAACATTGAGCAGAATTTGGATTTTTATTTTATTGGGCATCTCTATAACCATGACGTAGACCAAACAAAACTAAGTCCTGCTGTAATTGCTGCTTAACGGTGATTCCTTTAGCCAAAAAAGTACCATGGCCACGTCATGAAAATTATTATATTATTGTGAGCGGACGAATTACATAACCCTAATGTCACGAGCTTATTAAAAATTTACCTCGAAAAAACATTTATTTTATATTTGCAGTAACATGTAACTAAAGCAAAACAAATATTTTGTTTGGTTCAAGTAATTTTCCCAGGTAAAAAAAGTGACTCGTAATATTCGATAATATAACCGCGAACTTAACAACTACCACCAATTATGCTTTATGAAAGTAAACGTGTTTATATGTAGGTCACATTCTAACAAGTTTCGATTTTTAAAGGTACACTATTGACGAAAGTATAACTTTTCTTTTTCGTTTTTGTGGACAAATTTAAATAGGTTGGTTGTAGTAAGCTTTTAATGCAAAAAATTTTTATCAGTGGCACAATCACATCGGCAGAAATAAAAAAAAACAGTTTAAAGTACATTTGGCAACGCCCAAGCACTAGATCGCAGTGGCGAAAGTAAAACTTCATTTTGTTTGCTAAATCGCTCTAGGATAAAAGGTGCTGGTCGTAAAATGCATTTTAAACACACAACCAAAATCTTAATAATAAATATCCAAGGCGTTTCTGTCTGCATGACAGACCAACTGTACTAAATGATGCTTTATCACTTATTTTTTATTTATACTGGGTGACACAAGAAAGGGAGAACACTCTATAACTTTTCGACGGCTTGATATAGGAATTTGAATTTTGGAAGGATTAATATAGGCTGAATGTCCAATTTTTTGACAATATGTAGTCGATGGTTGCACTTCCGGTTTGAGCGGCAACAACAGTTTGTTGTTGTTTTTTTTTTTATTTAATTTTTGAAAAATGCATCTAGGAGGCTGTGACCATCATAAATACTATTTACCGGGTCACCTGATCATGGGAAAAATTGTAAATCAAACCCTTCTTTACTTGTCTAATGCCAAATAGTATTTAATGTAATGAACAATTAATTTTTAGGATAACCTAGTTTTTCAAATAGCACCCTAAACCGGTACATTTTGACACAAAAATTTTCAAAATCCGTTAAAAAATAAGCTCACAGGAAGTAAAAAAAAAGGTAAGTAAATGCATTTTTATAAAAAGAAAATATTACTTAGGTGGTTTAGTCGGCATGATTGAAAATTCTGACAGTTTGTACATTTTTATCTGATTATCGATTTTGTCGTGTTATCGATTTCGATTATCATGGAAAAAAATTATCAATTTACAAATGGAGAAAGAGTTGATATGTTTCTGACATACGGGGAATGCAGAAAAAACTCTCGACAGGTCCGTGCATTATATGCAGCCCGCTATCCGGAACGTCCTAATATTTTGTTCCTATAAAAATGTATTTACTTATCTGTTTTTTTCCTTTCTGTGGGCTTATTTTTTAAGGGCTTTTTAAAATCTTGATATCAAAATGTTGCAAAAAAAGCATCGGTTTTAAAAAGTTTTTGTTCCCAAACATTTGAAAAAGACACGATGTTGTCGAAATTGTCATGTCAAAATATATAATTTCGTGAAAATCTGAACTTTTGGTTCTTATTTATTTTGATAAATGGATTTTCATCAATTAAAAGCCTCCTCAGTTCAATTTTTGAAAAAACTAGATTATCCTAAAAAAAATGCCATTAGACAAGACAAGGAAAGTTTAATTTACAATTTTTTCCATGATCAGGTGACCCGGTAAATAGTGTTTGTGATGGTCACAGCCTCCTAGAAACAATTTTCAAAAATAAAATAAAAATTTTAAAAAACAAAAACAAAAGAGAAAAACCGTCCTATACTACAAGGACGTTCAGCTTATATTAACCTTTCCCAATTTAGAATATTACGGCAATCATTTGATAAGATCCAACAAAATGCTATTACAAAAAATGGTTTAGAGTTGGAAGTCGTACTTTCCAAGCCAAATTTTTCCTTAAAAAAGAACGTTAGTGATTTCGATTTTTTAATATTTACCGCAAACAATTTTATAAATTACTGAAAATCAAATGAATCTGACTCAATTTTGTTAAAATTCACGCTTATTTAAAAATTTGCCATAGATTTTAACTATATTAAACCCAACTGTAAAATTTAGAAACATTTCTTCTTAACAAGTTACGTCAGTAATAATAATAGGCTCATTTAAAAATTCGACAAAGAATTAATAAAAAAATTCCAATATGGTGCACACATAAGTGACCACTAAGTAAACTAGTAGCCACAGGAATAGTGTCTGTGTGTGTGTGTGTGCGCGTGTGTGTATGTGTGTGTGTGTGTGTGTGTGTGTGTGTGTGTGTGTGTGTGTGTGTGTGTGTGTGTGTGTGTGTGTGAAGGAATAACTGGAAAAGAAAATGGCGTTCACAAAGGGGTCTATGAGGTTAAATGAGTCCATTCTCTAGAAAGTTATAAGAAAGCAGTTTTTCTCAATTTTGACATTTTATGTTTTTTGGCGTACTTAGTGAATACATTAAAAAATATTGTTTTATCAATTTCTTTTGTTTGACTGTTGTCTACCATGAAGAACCGCATTTCATAAACTCCGTTTTGCACACCGCTGCTTTTGATCATTTTCACGTTATTCCCCGACACAGTTTATTGTGCTTGTTTAGTAATAATTTAAAAGTAAAAACTCATTTTCAACAAATAGGCAGATTTCCATAGCAATGCAATGTGTTCAAAAATGATCCAACCAATATAATAAAGATCATTACAGGACTTTCAATCCTGTCCATATTCTTCGTCAACAAAGTGAAATTTTTCGAAGCTCTAGGTAGTCAAAGTAAGGCCCCTTCTTGGGTGTCCCACTTCATCTGCCGTTCATTTTATTTTCACGTAGCTACCAGATGTACGGTGTAGTCACTTATAAGTGCAATATATGGGAATTTTTTTATTAAAAATTTGTCCAGTTTGTAATAAAATTTTAAAATAAAGACTGTGCCTTTTGAAACTGGAGCTTTTTAATATCCTTGTTATTATTACTGGTGTTTCTTTGAAATCCTACTTGATCCGCGTTCAGATTGATTTTCGTCAACTTATATATTTTTTGGCATATGAAAATATCACATATTCAGAAAGCGCTTAACGTAATTGCAAAATAAAAGTGATATCTAAACATTTATATTTAAAAAAAAAACGAAATATTCTCATAGTAGAAATCTGACAGACTTGAATGGTTTAAAATAGTTATTGTTCCGACGTTTATAATAGAAAAATTCACTTTTATTCAAATCGAGATAAGGCGACAACAAAAAGACGATCTCACGCCATTAAAGCTAATTCGATTCGTTTAGTTGGGTAAGGTCGAGAAACGTCGTGTAACTTTTTTAAATCGCCCGTGCGACATTGGCAGTGAAATGAGAAAAGCTTTCTCGATACCGGCGAGTGTCAACGCCCTATCACTTCTTTCATCTCGAGAAAGCTAAAGGAGCAGCCGGCGAACGGATTGCCAACGGATTTTTGGCAGCCGTTACTTAAAATTAATGTTCGTTAACCGGAAACGTCCTGAGCATGCGATTGTTATAGTGATATTCTGCCTTTGAAATATATTTTATTGATCGCAT